TGGAGCTTGGACAAACAAATCTTCGTTGGTAGGCTGTAGGTAATCCTTGGGTTGAAGTGGTTAATAATTTTTATTACAAACTATTTTACCACTAAAAACAATCCTGATAAGATTAAAAAATTTATTAGAGTAAATAATTAACATGCCTCCAGTCCTTTTCTCCATCTTTGCTGATATTGTGCTTCTCTGCGGCACCAGCCGATTTTACATCACAGAACCTTCGATAAACTGTAGATCATCAGTTTAGTTTGTTTTCTCCGTTAACACCTTATTGGCTAAATGATGCCGTCCTCCCATCTGCAGCTATCCAGAGATTCCAGCTGTTCTGGCTGTCTGCTCTGCCAATATCAGAGAAGGTCCAGAAAGAAGAACTTCAGCTTCTGGAGAACAGAATCCTGGGTCAGAGTAACTGCTGTCCTTCTTGGTCGTTTAACACTAGATGTCCCGGAGAATTTCAGTTTTCCTGAAAGCCCCCCTCCCCTGTTCAAGATTGGACATGTATAAGCTTTTGCTTCTTCCATCCCCTTTTCAAGCCATGCATATGTATTGTTTGTCATATGTGTTGTAAAATGTGTGCAGGTTTGAAATAAACTTTCTGAAAATGAAAATAAAAAAAAAAATCTTTTATTTAGGCAAACCTATTGGACAACCAGAGATCATACGGGTCCTAGTTCCTGAGCTGAGAACAGGTCATAGCCATGCTTTTCCAACAAGGCAAGGCAGAGCCTATTTATATTGTCCATTCACCAACAGACTCATTTATATTGTAAAACTCACTATGTGAAAGAAACATAGAGAATAATTGTATCTTGTCTTGTCTCACCTTTTCACATCATTCAACATTTCAGCTTAGAGAATGACAACAGTATGATTTCAGTACTGGAGCAACATTAATTTCACACAAGGAAAAGCAGTACATATGAAGCTACAATTGTCCCATTTAGCAGTTTTTACAAACCCTAGGTGAGTCTTTCCTGCATTTGCGACAGGTATACTTTGTGCAGTGCACACAACGCTCAGTGCTGTGGTTCCTTTTGCAGAGATTGCACACCTGGCCTTCTTGTAATAACAACGAAAAAAATCTTTAAAAAAAATAGAGT